GGCCCCCCCTGGCTCTGGCGCAAATCGCTGCCCTGGCACCAGAGGCCCCCCCGGAGACTGACCCCCTGGTATGGCTACAAGACAGATACTGGAGGCTTCCAAGGAAAGATAAGAATGGGAACCCGCCGCCCGACCGACCCAATCCGGATCGATGGGAAGAAATCTTCAGACAACCGCTATTTGGGAATCGACTGATTACGGATGCCTGGGTTAAACATGGTGCTCGCAGGGTAGGGGATCTGTGGGATATAGAGGCAAGATGTTGGAAGAGTCCAGAAAGGATGCGGGCATGGCTACGCTACTGCCATCTCACGGAATCGGCGCAAAACGAACTCATTGAAAGTTTCCCCCTACAATGGTATAGCACCCTTCGAAAAGGGCCGCAATTGAGAGAAGGAGACTGGGTTTGCCTGCCCGGCCACAAGGAGGAGATAGGACAAATACACATTGTGGACCAAACACAGGCCCTAATTGAGCTCTTCTCCGTCCAAAAGGATGGCACTCTACGGGGCAGCCAGGACCCCTCTATCTGGAAGGACAGAACGGAACATATATCGCATCAGAGTTCTGGACACAGGCAGAGGACGATGTGCCTACCGCCCAACAACCCCGATTGAGGATCTCCCCTTCGACCCCGAGGAGTGGCATTGGTCCCAAGGAGCCACGACTAGACAAGGGCCGACAAAACAACTAACACTTTAYAATCTAAAAAMCAAATCAGCCTATCGTATGCTCCRTCCCAAACGAAGACTGCGAGAGACGGTTGAGGACAGGTGGCATCGACATCTTAACGTGGACCGAGACTTGCTCAAGCMGATCGGTTGGTTYACTCAACCTAGGAAYWGACCCACTAAGATCTCGGCCCTGCAGTGGCAAATAGCGCACCGATGCCTGCCAACAAACAACTGGTTGATAGATCACACTCGGCTGGAGCAGCAAGGTCGGGCGTTACCCTGGTGCCATAGCTGTCTCAGGGGTTACCCGGGGAGGAAAAGGGCCGAAACAATCGGACACATCTTCCTCCAATGCTCGGCTTCGGTTTTGCTCTGGAGGGTTTGGGACAGGATCTAGCGACACATTGTCCCCGGTGCAGAATGGCCATGGGAGTGGAGGGCTATATTACTAGGTCATTACCCCCCGATTCGGGAAAACACATTCGAGGAGAACATGTTTCATTTGGGCAGGCGGGCAGTCCTGTGGGTCATATGGTGGAAACGTTGCATTTTGGAATTGGATGGGGCAGGGGTTGAAGAAGGAGAAGTCACAGAACAGTTACGCCTATTAATACAACATGAAATTACTGCCCAGTGGAAGGAGGCCAGAGACAAACTCGACCAAATGAATTCCTGGTCTGACATCAACAGGATCATCTCCCGATTCAGTCACGATTGGTTGGGAGGGGAAAGAAAAGGATGGGTGGCGGAGGTAAGATGGTCTGAAAACTGCCAGCAGGGAGGAGAGCTGCAAGAAGGACACCGGACGGAGATAGCAAGAGATTACCAGCTGATCTTCCATGAATGGACAAACCTCGATCCCGGCGAGAGGTTACGCCCGGCTCAAGAATTTGCAGACCCCTTCCCCCCCCACCCACTGGCACTGGAGGAGGTCCTCCCCCCATGCTCACAGTAATCCAGTCCGGTGGAACCGGCCCGGCTCAGTTTTTGGTCTACTTGCTGGCCACTTGATTTTGCCCTCTTCTTTTGCCCTCTTCTTCTGTGGTCCCCTACTTCTGCTCCCTTCTGTTCTCTTCAGATCTTGGCCTCTTTCGGTTCCTTCTCTGGTTGTCTATCCCTGCTTATCCCTGCTCATCCCTGGTTA